GAATGAGTTTTCCATTAAAATTTTCGTTGTATTTTGACGATTCCAACGGTAATTTTGCAACGATTGAAATATGAGTGAAAATGAAAATTTCAACAAAAATTGTATATTCCAATGTAAATTCTTACGGTAAAAAATCGTTGGATTAATAGCCGTTGAAATGATTAAATTCCATCTCAATTCTAATGGAAAACTCATTAGAACGGAATAATTTCGTTGGAATTTTCATTGGAATAATTCCAACAAAAGATATACTATTGGAATATCAGTTGAAATTTCTATTGTAATATATTACCTTAAGATTTTTTATTAGAATATGACATTTTTATTTAGTGAAATCATATTTTATCATTATATTTTAACTCGTATTCATTCATAAACTCAAAAATTATTCATCATTTTACTCGATTTTCTTCACTTTCACTCAATAAAAAATAATTTATATTGAATCACATTCGCCGTCATGGTTGACATTTGACTCCTTTAACACCAAAATATAAGGCAAGCATTTCACGCAATTCACACATGTACACCTACTAAGCTGGAACAAGAAATTGCTGTATGATTAGTCAGGTATGGGTGTTGGGGACCAGCTTTCCAACATTAGCCCCAGCACCCAATTGGTTAGAATTAGGACGTAAAGAATATTAATATATCGAAGACATAAGTAAAACGTTTTCGACAAAATAATTTTTTCTTTTTTCTTTTCGCTTTCTCATGAATAATGGTATATATCCTCTATTGCATCAATAACTACATTAAAGAAAAAGAGAACACATCTTTAGATCGTCAACATCTGATGATGGGTACTTGTGCAATAGCCAACTCGAGTAGTACAATGAAGGTAAGATTTATGAATCTTATTCTAAGAAATGGGGAAAATAACCTTTTTGTCTGATATATACATTTACCTATTTGCCAAGGAACTGATTGACATATACTTTTATAAATATAGCTAGCTAGTTATTCAGCTTGTCATTTAGTTGAAAAGACAAGCACGTCTCTTGGAATATGTTTGTTAGTTTAGACTAAAATTAATTAATTGCTAATAATTTAATTGATACCTCACAAATTAATTTTAATCATAATAATGACAAATGAATGAATGTCCTTCTTGGCTTGGCAGATGAACTATGACCAACAGCATAGAAGGTGTCTATTGAGTTTTCAAATAAAAATTTGAACGGAGCAGCGTCTACTGGTTATTGTCGAATATATAGGTCCATCGTCCAATTTAGTGCTAAGAACTGGAATTTTGAAATAACAGAGGAACTTGTGGTAGTGCTAACACTTGTATATTACATAAATGTTAATTTTATATTATATACTTTCAAAATAATAATTTTTTCTTACATTTTCAAATGATTTTCATAAACTACAATTTTCTTTTTATTTAAAACTAGTAGGTAGCATGTGCGATGCACATGGCAATAATTATAAGTTGCATGTATTAGAGCAATGAAGGAATATTGATTAGTATAAAATAATTTTGAATATTAATAATTTTTTTTATTTTATGATATATAATAATTTAGTATGTTATTTATGTTTATTTCACTCGTTATAAAATAGTTGTCATTTAAAGTTCTTGTTTATAATTAAGGAGAATGAAAAATTACCATATTAAAACATTATCAATAAATAATAATAAAAAAGTATTTCTCTCTCTATTTTTCCTTACCGATACCTTGTTACAGTATATTAGTTTGATTTCTGAATAAGTTATGTTAAAGTTGAAAAATTGTTGCAAGTGTTATAACCAACACTTAATTGAAAAAAAATTGTAACATATATTATTTTGATGTTAATATTTTTTTTTTTATTACGTCAACATTATTTATATGAGATTTTTAATGATATTGTGAATCACAATTTGGATTTTAAAAAAATTGGTTTGTTACAGTTATTGATAAAATCAAATTATATTTTGAATTCCATGAAAGTATGATTTTTGGTATATGGCTCGTTACCAGATGAATAGAAAATCGTAGGGATTTATTATTAATGTTGAGATATCAATTCTATTATATATAGTATTGTGGTAGGTATAGCAACAAGATTTTTGTAATTGACTTCAAAATTTATCTTGTACTTATATATTGCAATTTTTTTTTTCACCCATATTTCGATCTATATATTCTGGATGCCCAACAGTACAAGAGAACACATGATTTGTTATTAAGGATAGAGATTGATTTGTTATTAAAGATAAATAGTTAAATTTCTTTTGATATTGTGAAAAATTGCGTTTATAATTTTTAAAAACTTGAAACGGTTGAGTTGTTGATAAAACAAATGATTCTAAACTAATTATCTATATTAAATACTTTTTTGTAGATAGAATAAAAATCATTTTAGTATATGGTTGGTTATAAAATGAATAAAAAGTCAAAGTGATTTGTTATTTTGATAAAGCAGATTCTATTGTAACAATATGATAAATTTCATAATAGAATTTTCATAATTGATTTTAATTTTTTATTATGTAATTCTATCACGCATATTCAAATAATATTCTAAAAATAAATTTTATTTAGTCGATGCTTTTTGAAGACATGTTGCATGATTGATTACCAAAGTAAGGAATAAGAAATTGCAGTGATTCATAATCAATATGAATAAGTATCACAAAATAATTTTCAAAATTCATACCGCTTGATTTATATAGAAAGTCGTGCTATTAACATGATTGCATGATTTACAACAGGTATGTATAATTTGATTTATATTTTTTTTTAATAAATATTAAGGTAATTTTTTATTATATTTCCTTTAATAGTAAGTCGACCTATTTAATTACAAAGTATTAAATTACTATTTTAGGTTATTCTATCAACCTCTTTCAATATATATTGATTTTATCACGTGTAATAATTATTCGTTCTATATATATTAAAATAATTTTTTACTCATATCATATAATGGGATTTATAAGTAAATTATTTAATTAATTTACATATCTGTATTACTTTCCAATAGAGTTGATTGGATAATTTAATTTTTTCTATATAGATAGATATAAATTTTTATATTTATGTGATAGGAAAAATTTGAAGACCGTGAGAAAATGATTAGCTTGATATACAATATTTATAAAAAAATTGACAACAAATAAAAAAAAAGTCATTAAATTTCACAGTATATTTATGATTTAAGTTGATAAACTTTTTTATTATGTTAAAATCTATAAAAGTGCAAAACGACACGAACATAAAACACCATAATTTGATACATAATATTACGAAACACTTAGGGTTTGATAAACTCTCTGAGCGAAACACCATAATTGGATATATCATATTACCAAGCACTTGGCTTGGGATCGGTAGAGCACTCTGAGCCTGAGGTATAAGATGTGAAATGTCTAATACATCACCTTGGAATCGTTGCTAAAATTAATGGGAAAAAGAAAAAACAAAGGAGAAATTAAGGATTTGAAAGTAAAACATAAAATGGAGTGGAGTTGATGTACGAACGAAAGGCTGTGCTGCTGAATTTATAGGAGACGTGAACCACTAAAGGTGGGGGCACGGCCTCTGCCCGAAAGCGAGATATGCGCACGATAAAAGTGTTATGTGGACTCCACTCACGCACCAAAACGTGTAATTCTCAATAAAAGTTGTACCGTTCTACAAACAAAATTTTATTGCTTTTTCAATTTTTGGATTTTTGTGACTACCTTTTTCTTTATCATTCTTAAGGTCCCCCACCTATGACATTAACCTTAAAATGTATTCTAGAATTTCTTATTATTAAATGGCATCGATTATTTTCACGTGCCTGCATAAGATCAATCATGAGGATATAGATATTTGGACATGTTTTTTGTGTAATTTGTATTTTTAATGCAGTTATGTTTATTTTAATGCTTTTGCTCGCTCGGGCACGACTAAAATTTTATAGTTACGGATAGTTAGTTATATAGTTGTTGTATTATACATTGTAGGATTAGATTAAGGCCCAATATAAGGTAGATCCATCTTTTGTCTTTATATACAAGTACATACCTTGTGATTAATACAATACATATATATTTTTCCCACATTCTCACATGATATCAGACTAGGTTTGAGGTCACATATCGACTTGATTTTTCATCACTCGTCTACGGCCACCTTTGACTCTCACCTCCCATACTATTGTCTCCGACGTTTGAAGTCGGACCTTCGCCGAAAATTTGAGCTCCGTTGGCGGCGCGTGTAGATCACATACGCCTTGTCTCTGTCTCCGCGCAAGATTCTTCAGCCGGCGCGTGAAGCTCACCTCCAACGCCGTTCGTTGCCGCTTTTCAGCCGCCGACTCCTGTCAACGTCGGCTACTTGTTGATCTCGGTGCATCTCAATCGTCGTTTACTGCTCTACATTGTGATAGTCAGAGTGCTATAAAGATGTCTCATAATGATACCGTTCATGAGCGCACCAAACATATTGAGATTGACTGTCATTTCATTCGACAACATGTTGCACAGGGAATTGTGAAGCTTGTTTCCATCTCCTCTATGGTTAAGGCCGAACATAAGGGAGACCCATTTTTTGTCTTTATATAAATGTACATACCATGTGATTAATACAATACATATTTTTCTCACATTCTCACATGGATGTTTAAATTTCTAACTAAGAGGCTCGTACCCTGTGGGGGCTGGCAGTTCGTGGTGAAGTCTCGAAGTGAACGTGGGATACCTCCAGTCGTTTAAAATAGAAAAAAAGAGGCCTGAGAAACTAATCAGATTACAAATGAATAGGGTATGAAAATAAACTTATTTTATTAGAAAATAAAATGAGGCCATAAATGGATGAAAAATGAGTAAATACCATATCTTTTAATCAACATTGGAGATAAATTTATTTCAAAAAGTAAATGATATCAATCTCTGGATTAGAAGGAAAAACTGGCTGTCCTATGTGGGGACAAGAGATGAATTAGTGAAAAAAATGATCAATCTGTCTATTTTACTTATTTATTTCAAATTTACACATTGCTTCTTTATCCAGTAATATTCTTCTGGACACAAGTTCTTCAAATATTAGAATTGAGTGTTAGGCATTCAATTATTTATATATCATCATCACACTACAAACTCTTATCTGAAACTATATCAAGTTCGTAACCTTACATTTTCTCTCCCTGATCAATTAATATAAAGTTCTTGAAACTCTTGGTATACATACATACTTTAGTCCACAAATAAAACATACATATACACATACTGAATAAAACCTACACACATCTTCTCCTTTGCCTCCCATGGCTACTTTACACTCATCACCAAATAACATCACCACACACAAAATCCTATATGCTCCATGGAACACCACAAAAACAAATCTAGGAACCTCAAATCTCTTATTTCCCGGCAAAAAGCCTAAAAATCGGCCGATCGTGATAAAATGCTCCGCGATATCTAGCTTAGAAAACATTAATGAAACCGATCATCATCATGTGGAGCTGGTCCAGGAAGACCCGAGGCCCTTGAGCCAGATATGGAGAGAAATTCAGGGCGAGAGAAACTGGGAAGGGCTGTTGGACCCCATGAATTCGCACCTTAGGCGGGAAATCATAAGGTACGGTGAAATGGCCCAGGCCTGTTACGACTCGTTCGATTTCGACCCGCACTCGAAATACTGTGGGACATGTAAGTATCAGGGGGCCCATTTCTTTGAGAGGATGGGGATGGAAGATCGGGGCTATACCCTGACCCGGTACCTGTATGCTACCTCCAATATCAACTTGCCCAATTTCTTCCAGAAATCTAAGGTTAGCAGAGTTCAAATTAAATAATTGTTATGGCCATATTTCCTTTTGGTTTGGAGGTTAATTTGAGATTTTTAAATTTAGAGAAGGGATAAAGTTTGAGGTGTGACTGTGATCAGTCTTGGCTTTATTAATGGGATTAATTATAGTTTTGTGTATGTAAAGGTCTGGATTCGAAATTCGTTTTCTAGTGAAATATTATTAAAAAAAATAAATGGAGAAAATTCTTATGTAATTTNAAAAAAACAACAAAATACTATTGCTTGGTGAGTTGAAGCTATTATTGTACATAAAATTTGTACTAATCTGTGTTATTTGTTAAATAATGGCAGCTACTTAAATAATACCAGGCAGTCAATTAACTTTGCATTAATTATTGGCATATAAGCAGTAACATGTTATTTATAGTGGCATATTTAATCGAAAAAAGATGAAAATGTGTCCCATTACTTGTTTCTTATAGGTAACTAATTAGTAATTGACTAACTGCACATGTATTATATTAATCACATATTCACATTTATAAAAAAAAAAAAATGGAGAGATGAAATTTTGACAAAATCTGTCCTCAAAATTCATACTACAGGTCAGCAGCATCTGGAGCCCACACGCCAACTGGATGGGCTACGTGGCAGTCGCCACCGACGAATCCGAAATCCGACGCCTCGGCCGCCGTGACATCGTGGTGGCCTGGCGCGGCACGGTGACCTACCTTGAGTGGATCCACGACCTCAAGGACATCCTCCACCCGGCCCACTTCCGCGGCGACCACGACCCCTCCGTCAAAATCGAGTCCGGCTTCTTCGACCTCTACACCTCCAAAGAAACCGACTGCACCTACAGCTCCTTCTCCGCCCGCGAGCAGGTCCTAGCCGAGCTCCGCCGCCTCGTCCACCGCTACCCAGACGAGCCCCTCAGCATCACTATCACCGGCCACAGCCTCGGCGCCGCCCTCGCCCTCCTCAGCGCCTACGACATAGCCGAGATGGGACTAAACATCGTGGACGAGACCACCGAGAAAATCCCCATCAGCGTGTTCTCGTTCGCGGGCCCGCGTGTCGGGAATTTGAAGTTCAAGGAAAGGTGCGACGAGCTCGGGGTCAAGGTGCTGCGGGTGATCAACGTGCACGACAAGGTGCCCACGGTGCCGGGCATCATCACGAACGAGAAGTTCCAATACCAAAAGTACATCGAGGAGAAAATGGGTTTTCCGTGGAGTTACGCGCACGTCGGGGTGGAGCTGGCATTGGACCACGCGCGGTCGCCGTATCTGAAGAGCACGGGGGATATTAGAAATTCGCATAATCTGGAGGCTCATTTGCACTTGGTGGACGGGTATCACGGGCCGGATAAGGGGTTTGTTCAGGCTTCGGGGAGGGACGTGGCGCTGGTGAACAAGAGTTGCGATTTTTTGAAGGCGGAGTGTGGGGTGCCGCCAAACTGGTGGCAGGACGAGCACAAGGGGATGGTGAGGGGAAGGGACGGGCGGTGGGTGGTGCCCGAGAGGGAGCGGATCGAGGCCCACCCGCCCGACACGGCCCACCTCTTTGAGCAGGTGGTTAAGTATGCTAGAGCTAAGCTGGATTTAATTAAACAATAATTATTAGGTACTAATAAACCGTCTTATTTTTCTGTTTCATTATATGTGGTCATTATGAATTTATGATTGATAGTGGCTGTGAGTATTTATTTATTTATTTTTAATTTGCATTTATTATTTTGGGAAGTAGACAGAGGAAGTGGAATAGAGAACATGAGTGTGTGAGTTAAATTTGATTAGATGGGGGTGATGATAGTGGGGGCAATACGCAGTCCACTTTGATTTGATGTGGGTGTTGTTATGTGGTTTGTTTTCCGTCAATTTATAGATAACAAAAAATTGGTTTTTATGGAATTTGGTTTTCGATGTTAGTTGTCTGGCCGTGGGGGATGAGTTCTAAAACTTTGAGTTTGTTTTCTGTGATGTGAATGTATAACAGGATACTCGGCTCATCAAATTCAAAATGTATACTCAGTTCAATTATAGTAATTGGTTATATCTTGGAAAAAGTTCCATATTGTTTGCCTTTCTCTACCTCACAATAAATGAGTCTTTTGGCTCCTGGTGAATGTTTTTTGTCGATTAAGTTATTAAGACAAAGTTTGATTAAGATATCTAAAATTTTCTAAGACTTCAGAAATTTTGGTTATTTAATTTTGGCTTTTTAAAACTTTTAAAAGTATTGAGATAATTATTTGATTTTTTAAATAGTCTTACAAAATCTTAAGGTATTTAACTTATTTGAGACTGAGATTTTTTTAAGACATTTTAAGATCTATTGAGATCTCAAAAGAAAAACCATATGCGAAATGTTGCGAGTAGAAAAAACTAATTTTATCAAACTATCTTTCTTTTGGTGGAAGAAACTATTTTTATGAAGTCGGCATGGGGGTTGTGAGTGGTATGTTTTTTTAAAGATCAACTTCGGACTATTTTATATGAAGAAAATGTTGCGTCTTTTAGAATTCTGAAAAGAGTGATTATGACGGTTTCTCTTTGATGATGTGATCAAGTCTTGTGGAATAATGCGTCCGTCTAGTTGGAATTTGCCACGTGGGATGTCGAATCATCTGGCGTGCAGAGGGCAGCCCTCTCATGAAATGTCTCATCCATTAATTTAATGCGGCTAGCGTGTAGATTAAGGGTTTTTGAGGACATATTTATATAAGGGGAGGTGAATTTCTCAGCTTTGCTAAAAAATCTTCTTCTTCTTATTCTTCTTCTTCTTTCTAGTTTTGCCTTCATCCTTCGTTGTAGTCGATTTGGGATAATTTATTTTGGCACCTTT